CTTCGTCGCGATACTTTTAATATTAAAAAAAAAATGTATATATATATGATTTTAATTAAATGAATGAAAGCTCTGATTATAATCATGATAAATCAATCAAATGCCAATGATATTTAGGGAAAAAAAACGGTAACACAATTGAAGCGTAAGTTACCTGCTTCATAGCTGCCGTTACAACAGGAATGTACGTGGGGAAGCAACACATATTATTTTACACAACATTAAACATGGAGAGAATAATGGTCAATATTGTGGGTGATTTGGGGTTATTTTTGTTGTTTTTTATGTAACTATTAGTATCTTACATCCTCTAGAAGAACTGCAGAGTAATCTTTCTCTCTCTCTTTCTCTCTTTCTCTCTCTTTCTCTCTCTCTCTCTCTCTCTCTCTCTCTCTCTCTCTCTCTCTCTCTCTCTCTCTCTTTCTCTCTCTTTCTCTCTCTTTCTCTCTCTTTCTCTTTCTCTCTTTCTCTCTTTCTCTCTTTCTCTCTTTCTCTCTTTCTCTCTTTCTCTCTCTCTCTCTCTCTCTCTCTCTCTCTCTCTCTCTCTCTCTCTCTCTCTCTCTCTCTCTCTCTCTCTCTCTCTCGATCTCCATGCAAATAAAACCGTCACAAAGAAATGCAATAAATTAATATCAATATAAGGGCCATTTAAAGCGTCAACATATACAAATGGAAAATCATTAAAGACAAGAATTACAAGAAAAGAAAAATATATACATTTCGCTTTAATATATCTACAAGCTAATGAATGATACGATATATCCATGTATTCTGAAAGCAGAAAGGATGCTACTATTTACATGCATTAACCCAGTCGAGGTGTGTTTTGTATTTTCTTTTTTTGTTTTTTTGTGAAAATGCGCGGTGAATTAGTTTTATTCATTTTTCGTTTAGTAATGATTATCTTTTATTTTTTTCGTTTAATGGTGAATATTTGAAAATAAAAATTGCATCATATAGGTCAAGAAGGAGATATTAATAGTTTCTGTGTATATTAAGACGACAAAGAATTTTTAAAAATATCTCAAGACCGTTAGAATAATGTAAAACAAAGAGCGACAGTTACTTTACTTTTGTTATTAAAATTGTTTCATGATTTTATATTGCAAGGAAATAAATACACTTAAGAAATATATATATAATACAAACATTATTTCTAAAACAAAAAAATATGAAATAGACGTACTGTTAGCAAGGCAGTGACGAAGTAGACATAAATTTCGAATAGGCAGATATTATTGCCACATATTCCTTTTCTTTTTTTCTTTTGTAATATTGGATGGATTACATGAAAAGGGGGTAATCCAGATATTGCCAGTCTTAAACACGAGAAGAACTCACCAGCTCACGAGAGTTACCGGGTTACTGAGAGGTTACCATTATGAGAGAGACGACGCGCTTTGCACTTGGTTTTTGGTTTTTTGGTTTTTGGTTTTTTTTTCCCGCTTCTGATTTCGCGCCAGGAAGCCATTGGTGGTGTGATGGTGATGTCATAGAGGGGGGGTTGGGGTAAGGTGATGGTGTACGATTTGCTTGTTTTCGCCGCTCTTTACTTTTTTGTTTGTTTGTTTGTATGTTTTTTTGTTTTAAGTTTTTTTTTTTGTGATCGTCAGAAAATTTACCGTTCACCAGGAGCGCTTTCTATCTCAGAAGTAATTTTTTTTTTCTTTTTAGTGACGCGAAGCACTGGACGGTATTTTTTTTTTTTTTTTCCTCTTCATGGATAACATCAATAAAACTCGAAAACAACATGTGTATATTCATGTGTAAGTATGTAACATTGACGTGCATGTTTGGCCAATCTCTCTTTTTTATCTCTGAAGTACATTTTTTTTTTTCTCCAAGGTGATAAGCTGTTATTTTCACCAACATCGATTTTTGTCTTCCACCCACAAGATGTATAGATGACGAACCTATTAATTAAAGGATCTTCACATCCTTGTCATTAGTGTAGAAAATATTTAATTACCTCTATTATCATCCTTATTATTATCATTAGTTATCATGATCACTATTTTACCAATATTAAAAAACGTTATTATTATGGTCGGTATTATCATTAATCTTCCCCTTTACAGCTCGAGGCAGAAGACAACTTTTTAATGTCAGCGAAGATTCCTTTCGTGAGTTCTCCCGCACAGAAAATTAGCACTAACATTTACATGGAGAATAACATATCATTTTTTTTAAAATACGATAACATCAACAACCATACAAGCTACAAGCATGCAAAAAAATAATGTAGCCTTTTTTTTCTCTCTTTCAAATTTCTTGTCATTTTAGTTAGATAAAGGATACCAGGTTTGTTTTTCTTGTCATTATTTTTGAAACACATGTTACAACAGACGAATCAGCTGTTTTGCAACGACATTACACAGGTCATCAACAATGAGCACATAGCATTATCTAGAATATATCACAACCATATTATAGTGTCGGAAACACATATATGCAGCAGGGAAACACAATATATATATCTATATGTAATCTCCACATAAGAAACCACAGAAATAACTTTTATTCCACCAATGTAATATCGATCTTTGAAATGAAGAAATGAATGACAATGAAGACACGTACGAACGAACATACGGTTTTACGATTGCAGGCTTATTACAGTGAGTCACCACATTAAATATGTCTATCTTAGAATACCATCGATTAATAAACAATCCGTAGGGTTTCTTACAAGCGGAATCAACGTAACAATAAATTTCTTCTTTTATAAACGCTATAAATTTTCAATAAACGTTTGGAGACACTGGAAGAGGAGTAAATACCTTCTTTAATAGGGTTAGGATGGATATATGTTTAGTCTTTTGTTATTGCTAGACGAAATGTGCCGTTTCGTTCTCCTTCATAAACATCAACAACGTATAAATAATCATATTCAAAAGTCTTACTGCCTATAACAAAATGCGCTGAGCACTCTTTCCTTGCGTTTCTGGCTAACGAAATTCCGAACAATGACCAAAAATGATAATGAACTTTATTTTTTTATTTATTTTATTATTATTATTATTATCATTATTATTTTTATATTTCCAAAACATTTCAAGAACTTCCCCATAATGTCTTCTTTTCTTTTCTTTTCTTTTCTTTCTTTTTTTTTTACATGTCCTCTATAGCCAGTTCTCGCTGAAGAGTTGCAATTGTAGTTGTAACAATGAACAGACTTATATTAACGATTTCCGTTGTTCCTCATTCATATGATAATAGACAACTAACATTCATCCTTAAACCTAGATAAAGCGATCGATAAGCAACACTCAACAAGGTACACCGACTCTAGATGTAATACGATACATATAACTGTGGAAATACCTACATACTTTAATAAATACATATACATATATATATATATATATATATATATATATATATATATATATATATATATATATATATATATATATATATATATATATATATATATATATACGTATATATGAATATATATGTATATATATATATATATATATATATATATATATATATATATATATATATATATATATATATATATATATATATGTATATGTATATATATATATATATATATATATATATATATATATATATATATATATATATATATATATATATATATACATGTTTATATATGATACATATTTATATGTACATATATATTGATATATACATATAAATATATATACATATATATATATATATATATATATATATATATATATATATATATATATATATATATATATATATATATATATATATATATATACATGAACATAAGTATGTATGTATGCACATGTGTATATGTATTGTATTGTGTGTGTATATATATATATATATATATATATATATATATATATATATATATATATATATATATATATATATATATATACTCATACAAATATGCATATGTATATGCTTATATATATATGCATATGTACGTATGTATGTATGTATGTTTGTGTGTGTCTATGCCACATGTGTGTGTATTTATGTATATGGATGTGTGTGTGTGTTATATATATTTATGTGTATATGTGTATATATATATATATATATATATGCACATATATATATATATATATATATATATATATATATATATATATATATATATATATATATATATATATATATATAAGTGTGTGTATGTATCGGTATGTTTGTGCATGTGTGTATACATATATACATATGTATACACACATATGTATGTGTGTGTGTGTGTTGTGTGTGTGTGTGTTGTGTGTGTGTGTGTGCTATATATATATATATATTATATATATATATATACATATATGTGTGTGTGTGTGTGTGCTATATATATATATATATATATATATATATATATATTCTGTAGCGACAAAATGATATGAATGTTATACACATTTTTGATGATAAAGGGTGAGGTGAAGTTCAGCTGTTACCCACAACTGAAATTTACTTCCAAGTCTTTTAGAAATTGAATAGAAAATTTAAATAATGATCATTTTCTTAATAACTAACATAATGCTGTACATTCTCCGCATAACCATGTAATTTACCATGTAATTCCAAAATTACCTAGACAACAACCTAAGAAAAAGGGGCATTTGGTCCTTTCATGCAGAAAATACTCATCAAAATACTCTCTAATGAGGTATGAAAAGTCGTTAGAACTTTAGTATATCATCGGCATCAGTTCGCGCCAATTACCGGCAAATCGAGCTTAAAATCATTCCTCACCGTGTCTCATTCTACCCGCAATATTATGTAAATATGTGTAACTATTTTACGCTCGTTGCGTCACTGGAACCTGAAGGGGAAGAGAATGAATTGGTCCTCACAAGAGCAACCCTCTGATTGGCCAGTAAGCAAACCGACGCTGTGTCGTCATTGGTCGGAATGTATAATAAGCAAGCACTACACCTTACACTTACTTTGAACTAATATAAATATATGTACTTCGTATCCAGCGACAAATGATATGAATGTTATACACATTTTTGATGATAAAGGGTGAGGTGAAGTTCAGCTGTTACCCACAACTGAAATTTACTTCCAAGTCTTTTAGAAATTGAATAGAAAATTTAAATAATGATCATTTTCTTAATAACTAACATAATGCTGTACATTCTCCGCATAACCATGTAATTTACCATGTAATTCCAAAATTACCTAGACAACAACCTAAGAAAAAGGGGCATTTGGTCCTTTCATGCAGAAAATACTCATCAAAATACTCTCTAATGAGGTATGAAAAGTCGTTAGAACTTTAGTATATCATCGGCATCAGTTCGCGCCAATTACCGGCAAATCGAGCTTAAAATCATTCCTCACCGTGTCTCATTCTACCCGCAATATTATGTAAATATGTGTAACTATTTTACGCTCGTTGCGTCACTGGAACCTGAAGGGGAAGAGAATGAATTGGTCCTCACAAGAGCAACCCTCTGATTGGCCAGTAAGCAAACCGACGCTGTGCGCTCATTGGTCGGAATGTATAATAAGCACGTACACCTTACACTTTACTTTGAACTAATATAAATAATACAGCTTTAAGAAGAAGAAAAAAAATGAATCACGTTTCTTTCATAAAATTTTCATTGTCAAAATGCTCTCTTTTTTTCTTTCTTTCCTTCTTTCATTCCTTATTTCATATTTTGTTGTTTTTTTTTCATCTACGCGATGCTATGCTACTCACGAAGCCAACCGTCAAAGCGTCCACTACAAAAAACGGGGAATTTTATCTTATGTTCCTTTTAATTTGCTACAAAAATAACCAGCGTTTACTTACTACGCACCCTCAAAGGAATTTGTCTTCTTTTTGCTGTTGTTGTTTGGGTTTTGTGTAAGAAAGTAGAAAATTAGGAAGGTAATGAAAAGAGGGAGAAGAGACGAAAAGATTTTCAATAATCCGAATGGCATATCATCTTTTAATAAATAATAAATGAAACTTGGCAAGGGAGAAAAAGGAGAATAACAAAAAAAATTATATAGAACTTAAGATGGTTTGTTTTTCTTCCTCCCTTTTTCTTCGTTCCTTGAATTAACCAGCGGGGGTAGAGGGAGAGGAAGAAAATAGGTGAGGAATTTGAGAGAAGTCCATTGTTCGTGAGGGGGAGGAGTGTAGCTAGCGGATAACAAGACATAGCGTGTGGTATTAGGAGCTACGGACATCGACTTAATCCAGGGGAATTTCACCAAATCTGTCAGACAGGTGGAACTAGCTAGGCACAGGACATTTTTTTTTGTCTATAGAGATCTATCATGATAAAATTCTCTTCTCCTTTCTTCTTCTTCTTCTTCGTCTTCGTCTTCTATTGGTCTGTGATCTATGAAGATCTTCCCAATGCATGAATACAATTTTTTTTAAATCTTAGGTCTAAAAACTGAGCTATTTTCATCTACATTTGCTTACCAGACGATGGAGGAGAGGGGGAGGGGGAGGGGGGAAAGGGAACAAATGCAGCTTTCCTAACTACTTCATAGTCTTCAAGTCACGCCACGCTAGACATGTGTACTAAAAAGGTTGATCATTTGCATTGGGTCACATTTATTGCCTTGTATGGTTTATATGTTTGTTTGTTTGTTATGTTTTGTTGTTTTTGTTTTTGTTTTTCTTTCATTTGTTTGTTTGTTCGCCGGAGCACACGTTACCCTCCTCACAGCTTGGTCTGGTCCTGCTTCTTGGGCGACGTGATGGGCGGCGGGGAAATGATCTCGCCCACCAGCCTCTTCTTAACCTTGCCGTCGGGCGTCGCGGTCGTGGGCGCCGGGATGTCCTCGTCGCTGTCGGAGCCCAGACTGAGCGCCGGGTTGACGCGTCCGTTCATCTCGTCCGTGGCGTTGTACTTGACCACCGAGTGACAAGCCATCACGGTCATCTCGCCCTCGTGAGGATCACCGACCGTCTGCACGTCCTCGGGGATGTTGACGACGCAGCGCAGGAAGTCGTACTTGGGGGCCAGCCTGCCCGAGAAGAACACCCAGTTGGAGAACCACGAGAAGAACACCAGCGTGGACCCGGACAGGATCATGGCCAGCGTGCGGAAGGGGAAGAGCTGCGTGCCCGATTCCTCGTCGAACAGCGGGTATCTGCAACGGACACGGACGGGGGGCGCTCAGCATCGTGCTAGTGCGGTGGTGGGTGGGGAGTGGGGGGAGGGGTCATGGCGGTGATAGTGATACGGGTTGGGGGGGGGGGCATGGCGGTGATAGTGATGTGGGCTGGGGAGGGGGGGGGCATGGCGATGATAATGATTATGGTGATACTATTTATAGTGAGAAGATAGGATGAGAACGAGGATATTTATTATAAGAATAACAGGAGAGGGGGGGTGTCATGGCGGTGATAATGATTATGGTGATAGTATTGATAGTGAGATGATGAGATGAGAACGATAATATTTCTTATAAGAATAGCAGGAACTACGATAACAATAACACTATTGATATTAAATACTAATGCTAGCCACCCGTAACTAAGACAACCTCATTATTACAAATACTACACTAATAATGAAGATTAAATAATATAACATTAATAATGATGAAAAATAACTACAACAAAAATAAGAAACCAATAACAAAAATAACAAATCACTACGACAATAATGATACAACAACAGCCATTATAATAATTATGATGATAAACCAAGAACAATAAAAATGATAATGATAGTAATCATCATCACCATCATAATGGTAATGATAGGGATAAGGATAATAATAACAGAAACGATAATGATAACAATAATAGTACAAATAATGATATTAATGATAATAATAATAATAATAATAATAATAATGATAATAATAATGATAATAATAATAATAAAAATAATAATAATAATAATAATAATAATAATAATAATAATAATAATAATAATAAACCAAAATTCAACCGAATCGAACCGAGACTCACATGCAAGCTAATCACCCAATCACCCAATCGGTCCTTACTTAATGAGAGGTGGAATCCTAACTATTTACCTCCCACCTTAAGATTCCAACGGGATGAGCTCAACATTGCAACTAAAATCAACAAATCACCTAACTGGCCATTAACCAACACGAAATCCACATGCAACCTAATGAACCCAATCGAACCCTTACTTGATTAGAGGCGGAATGCTAACCATTTACCTCCCACCTTAAGATTGCAACTGGATGAGCTCGACATTGCAATTAAAATCATCCAATCACCTAATTGGTCATTAACCAACAGGAAATCCACATGCAACTTAATGACCCCAATCGAACCCTTACTTGATTAGAGGCGGGATTCCAATCATCTGCTCCCCCCCCAGGACACGGACGAGCAGACCCACGATGTAAGCCCCCAGCGAGCCGTACAGGTTGCAGTGGTTCTTGAAGTGCACCACCATCAGGAGTTGGGGGAAGAGGATCACGTAGACGAGATCGGACGAGA